ATGGAGAAGGATGGATGGATAGATGGATGGACGAATAGACAGATAGGTAGTTGTCTAGATAGCTAGATGGATGGAGAGATGGTTGGATGGAGAGATAAATAGATGAATGGATGGATGAACGAATAAATTGAGGAAGGCTGATGGGTGAATGTCTAGACAGCTAGATAAATGGATGGATGGATGAATAGATGGACGGGTGGATGGACAGACAATTATCTAGATAGCTAGATAGCTAGCTGGATGAATGGATGGACTGATGAGGGAGCAGACAGCATTTTAAGAGGTTGCTAAGCTCTAGGCACAAACACCCGCAAACTATAGAGCCTCCGCCCTCGAAGACTTTCCATTTTAATGGCGGAAGAGAATACACAACGGGGAGCTGGAAAGGAGGGGATGGTAGACACACTGTGGCGTGGCTGGACTGGAACCCATGTCTCTCCTGTCCCTAACACCGCCCGGCCTCTCTCTGAGGAGGAGACGGTTCCAGAGAAATGGAGCAATCTGCCAGCAGACCCCGAGTCTCGGGGCGCGGCTCTGTCCCTCACGGGTTTGTTTCCCCGTTCTTCCTCCCCTCGCAGGCCCCCCGCCGGAACCTCCTGCTCTCCGCCGACGCCGCCGGTCAACAGCAGCAGCGGCGAGGGCTCCTGCCGGCCCAAGACGGACATCGTGTTCATGAAGACCCACAAGACGGCCAGCAGCACCCTGCTCAACATCCTCTTCCGCTTCGGCCAGAAGCACCGGCTCAAGTTCGCCTTCCCCAGCGGCTACAACGACTTCAACTACCCGGCCTTCTTCAAGCGCAGCCTGGTGCACAACTACCAGCCGGGCGACTGCTTCAACATCATCTGCAACCACATGCGCTTCCGCTACCCCGAGGTCCGCGGCCTGGTGGCCCCCGACGCCACCTTCATCACGGTGCTGCGCGACCCGGCCCGCCTCTTCGAGTCGTCCTTCCACTACTTCGGCACGGTGGTGCCCTTCACGTGGAGGCTCACGGGCCGCGACAAGCTGGCCAAGTTCCTGCAGGACCCGCACCGCTACTACGACCCCAAGGGCTTCAACGCCCACTACCTCCGCAACCTGCTCTTCTTCGACCTGGGCTACGACAGCGGGCTGGACCCCCGCAGCCCCCAGGTGGAGGCGCACATCCTGGAGGTGGAGCAGAGGTTCCACCTGGTCATGCTGCAGGAGTACTTCGACGAGTCGCTGGTGCTGCTCAAGGAGCTGCTGTGCTGGGAGCTCGAGGACATCGTCTACTTCAAGCTCAACGCCCGTCGGGCCTCCGCCGTCCCGCGGCTGACGGGCGAGCTCTACCGGCGGGCCACCGCCTGGAACCAGCTGGACGCGCTGCTCTACCGCCACTTCAACGCCAGCTTCTGGCGCAAGGTGGAGGCCTTCGGGCGGGAGCGCATGGCCCGCGAGGTGGCCTCGCTGCGGCGGGAGAACGAGCGCATGCGGCGCATCTGCATCGACGGGGGCCGGGCCGTGGACGCCGAGGCCATCCAGGAGTCGTCCATGCAGCCCTGGCAGCCGCTGGGCACCAAGACCATCCTGGGCTACAACCTGAAGAAGCGGATCAGCCAGCGGCACCAGCAGCTGTGCCGGAAGATGCTGACCCCCGAGATCCAGTACCTCATTGACCTGGGGGTCAACCTGTGGGTCATCCGGCTGCTGAAGTATATCAGGGAGTTCCTCCGCTGGTGACGGGCGGCCGCCGGCCCGTGCCTGCCCTCTCTCTCTCTCTCTCTCTCTCTCTCTCTCTCTCTCTCTCCCTCTCTCTCTCTCTCTCTCCTGACTCTCTCAGCCTCCTTCAGTGCACGCACCTGGGTCTTTCCTCTCAGGGATGGAGATGGGAGGGTCCTCAGGGAGCCCACCTCGGCAAGACAGAGCAAGATCTGACCTTCGACCGCGGACCCTGCGGCTGGGTGAGGCCTGCACCAGACGGGGCCTCGGCTGGGCCCTCAGACCACCGAGGCAGAAGAGACTGGGCGGGACACCTTTAACCAAGAGTAGTATTTGACTAATTGTACGTTTTTTTATTTAAGAAGATAAAAGAAAAAAAGGAAAAAAAAAAAGAATGTTACATATTTCTCCCCTGCCCCTTGTGTAGGGGCAGCCTTTGAAGCAAAGGAATTTGTTATTTGTGTTTGTTCCGCGCTCTCGCTAGTCCCCGATAGGGGCTGGGGCCCCGTAGGAAACGCCGATGTAGCCTCTGGAGACGTCCAAGAGCGTGTGTCTTTCTCTGGGGTCCTCCAAAAGCTACTCCAGGTTCAAAGCACACATGGAGTCAGCATCCATTCAGATCCATAACTTGTGAGCCCCCGGTGATATGCCTCTTACCGGATCACTCAGAGGACACATGAAGCCAAAACAAAATATGTTTAATTAAAAATAAGAACAAGATAAATGACAAGGAAAACCGCCCTGTGGGTAGGGGTACACTCCCTTAGACTTCCACAACACTGAGGAGAGAGGGGGCACATATGGCCAGAGAAACACATGTAGGAGAAGCCACATACATGGCTGGGGAATACATGTGCCCGATAGAATAATAACAGTAATCATAAGGACAGTAATAACAATAGCTAACACTTGCAGGATGATTTAATATTTGAAAAGCACTTTACATAGATGATCTCACTGGATCCTTACAGTAACACCCGTTCTGTGTCTGCTGCTGCTGCTACCTTCCTTACAGAGCTGCTGGGGTCATCTGCTCCCCCGGGGCTGCCACCATCACACACCACTGGGCGTCCTCTGCCCATCTATTTCCTCTGCTACGTTGCTGTCTGCTGGTGCTTCGGGGGGGGTTGCCATCAAACTGCAGCTGCTAGGGGGCGTTTTCTTCCTTGGGAGCGACTTAGCTCCATGAGTTAGAAGCATAGCTGTCACCAGTCAACCAGAGAAGCCACTAGACAACCAGCATCTATTAAGCACCTACTATGTGCCAGACACTGGGCTAAGGGCTGGGGATACAAATGGAAACCAAAGGAAAGACAGTCCCTGCCCCCAAGGAGCTTACATTCCAATTTAGGAAAACATAAGAAGGAGCTAAAAAGGGGGGAGAGAAGGATGGTGCAGTGACCCGAAGTTAGGGCAGAGAAGACAGTGGAAGATGGCTTACCTGGGGGCTTCCTCAGAAAAGAAGTTCAGGGAGGAGCTCACCGACGGGAGGAGGGGGCACCTCGGGGTGGAGGGGTCCTCCAGGGTGAGCAGGCTGCGGAAGAAGAGGGAACACCAGGCGTCGCATATCTTCTTACTTGCTTAATTTCTGACTATTCTTTGAGCTAGAATGAAAAAAAAAATCCTTTTAGCTCCCATTACGTCCCTGGCCACTCCATGCAAATTACCCTCCCAGAATGCAGTCTTGCAAGACTGAAAGGACAGACTAAGAAAAGTCAGGGGGTCTCGGCTCTCAAGGAGCTCCCATTCTAACAGGGGAGAGACACTCACAGGAGCTTTAAGCCTCAAGTCAGGTGGATTCCGCAGTACAGCATGGAACCGTGTCTCCTTTATTGTGATTTCCATCGATAAGACCGTATGGTAAACCGTGAATTCTAATACTGAACCACTGGACGCGACCAGAGACTTGAGCGGTTGGGAGTTTCATTCCAGGGTCCTCAGTAGCCATGGCTGCAGAAGCAGTATCCAGGTCACATCTCCACAAGGTTCCTTCTCTGGATGATCCTTGTAAGATTCAGACCGGAATCGGTGGTCTGAGAGTCGCTGTTACTGCCGAGGCTCTCGGCTTGCTTGGTCATCCGTTAGAATCCGGCAGCAGGTGGTAGAGGCGACGGCGAGTGGAACGGATCGCGGACTTCGCTTTCCACAAGGGCTGTCCGCCTGTCCTGCCTTGCTGGAGATCCAGCGGCTTGTGGGTCTGTGGGAGGGAGGATATAATTATTCCTGAGTTCTTCGATGTAGGATCCAAGAGTCGGAAAGGACGATAGAGGTTATCTGGTCAAACCGCGTCATCTTTATGGATGAAAAAACCGAGAGAGAGGAAGGTTTAGCGACTTGCCCTATGGCACAGACTTAGTATTTTGGACCTTTTTCCATTGTACCATACTGCCTGCCTTAAGATCTGGGTCTAACTCAAGCTCTGTTTCTTGTTACTTGTATGACCATAGGCAAGTCCCTTCCCCCTCTCGCTTTCTGCCTCTGTATAAAGAAGTGGGGGGGACCAGAGGAGTTTGAAGGTCCCTTTCCAGCTCTGATAAGTCTGCATTCCCTGTCCTTCCAGCTCAACAGCACCCTCTAGTGTCCAATCCCTGAAGCACAAGGAGAGCCAGGCACTGTCCATAGAGTAGAGGGAGTTATCTTCCTGCTATTTTTCCTCCATGGACAGATTATTATTATTTTTTTAAATCTTTGGGTATTGGTGGACTGCAAGCTCAATACGAGCCAATATGGCAGCCATAAAACCTAATGGAATCTTAAACTGCATTAAGAGAAGCATAGTTTCCAGGAATAAAGAGGTAGTAACCCTGTCATTGGTCAGGCTACATCAGGAGGACTGGATTCACTTCTGGGTACCATATTTTGGGAAGGAAACATAAACTGGGCAATGGCCAGAGGGTGGCAGCGAGGATGGTGAAGGGATTTGAGTCCATGCCGCCTGAGGACTGATTGAAAGAACTGGGCACGCTTGACCTTGGAGATAATAAGGAGCTACTGAGTTTTATTAAGAAAGGAGGTGACAAAGTTAAATCTACACTTTAGGAAAATCACTTTGGCAACTAAGTGAAGGGCAGATTAGAGTGGGGAGAGACTTGAGAGAATGAGAACAATGAGATGGATATTGCAATGATCCAGGTGAAAAGCGATGAGCTGAGCGTCTAAACCAGAGGAGACCCTGTGAATGGAAAGGAGATAGAGACAAGAGGTGGTTTAGAGGTAGAAATGATCAAATTTAACAACAGATTGGATATGTGGAATGAATTTGAGTGAAGAGTTAAGGAGGATATCAAGATTTTAGCCTGAATAGGATAGTGTGAAATGAGCAGAACCGGGAGAACATTACACACACGGTAACAGTAATACTATATGATGATCAACTGTGAATGACTTAGCTCTTCTCAACAATACAAACATCCAAGACAAGTCCAAAGGGCTCATGATGAAAACTGCTCTCCACCTCTAGAGAAAGAACTGATGGAGTCTGAATGCAGATCGAAGCAGACTTTGTTTTTACTTTCTTTATTTTTCTTGAATTTTTCTTTTTTTTTTTTTGGTTTGTGTTTGCTATCACAACATGACTAATATGGAAATATGTTTTGCATGACTGCCCATGTATAATCTGTATCAAATTGCTTGCCTTCTCAAGGAGAGGAGGAAGGAGGGAGGGAGGGAGAGAATTTGAAACTCAAAAATTTTAAAAATGAATATTAATATTGTTTTACATGTAATTGTAAAAAAATAAAATATATAAATTAAAAAAAAAAAACCCAAGCCAGTACTAGTTCAGAAGAGAGAAAGATAATAAGTTCTGTTCTGGACATGTGGTGTCTAAAATTCCTGCAGTATAACCAATTTGAAGTGTCCAATATGCAGCTGGAGATGTGAGACAAAAGCTCAGGAGACTGACTAGGGTTGGCTATATAGATGGGGGAGGCTGAGGAAATAAGCATTTACAGAGCACCTACTATGTGCCAGACACTGTCCTAAGCATTTAAAAAAAATCTATTATCTCATTTGATTCTCACAATAATCCTGTGAGGTAGGTGCTTTTATTATTCTCATTTTGCAGTTGAGGAAACTGAGGCAAACCGAGGTTGTGTAACTTGCCCTGAGTCATGCAACTAGATCTGAGCTCAAGTCTTCCTGACTCCAAATCCAGGCCTCCATCCACTGTGCCATCAGCTGCCTCTAGATCTGGGAATCATCCATATAAACATGATAAACATCTATATAAACACATACTCATGGGAGTTGATGAGATCAGCAAAAGGGAGAGCACAGAGGAGAAACAGAGCCTTGGGGGACATCTACAATTAATGGCTGTGAAGATCCAACAAAGGAGACTGAGAAAAAGTGGTCAGACAGGCAGGAAGAGAACCAGGGAAGAGTGGTGGTACAAAAACCCAGAAAGGAAAGGAGGGACACCAACAGTTCAGAGGATTCCTTCGTGTATGGGATAGACTAGATGGCCGCCAGGTTCCCCTCCAGATCATAAATTTCTGTGGTTCTATGAGGTTGAGCCAAGGGATGAGGAAATGTTTCCTGTATGAAATGGCACCTGAGTTGAGCTTTGAAAGATTCTAAGAGGTGGAGCTAAAAGGTATCTTATGGAAACCTATGCATCATGCCAGGAAATGGAATCAAATTCAATGTTGTGCTTCTCTCAACTCTGGTCCTCTGACCTGAGGACCTCTCTAGATGCAAAGTACTCTGCAGTTTCACTCTTAAAACTGTAGTTCATGCGTGTTCACTGGTGTGTTTATTTTATCTCTAGCCAGACATGAGACATAATAAGCTCAAGGCAAAAGTATTTACTGACATGGTATAGTAAAAGCGGTACTAACAAAACATTTCCACAGTCAACTTGGAGTGCGTGCTTCCACAAATGCACAAAGCAGCAGTGGGAAGGATGGATGCATAGGGTTCCCAAGCGGAGAGGCATATACCTAGAGACATTATGTGACCAAGACATGCACAAAGAAGGGGAAAATTCTCATGCTTCAGGCTCCTGGGGCACTAATGCACTAGCGCTGCCCCCACTGACCTTGGTTTCAATCGTCTCCATTGATAGTTTCCATTTTATCTCTTTTTA